GCTCTGAACTTCTCCAGCAGGACACTGAACATTGTCAGGGTCTCCTCACATCCTCTCCATGAACTGTTGAACTGCTGCCATCAGGAAAACGTTTCCGGAACACTGAAAGAATGAATCTCCAGACCAGGGATCTCCAACTCTGGTCCTCGTGAGCTACTGTCCTGCAGGTTTTTTCCATACTGCAGCACACCTGACTCACATTAATGGATCTCCAACAGCTTGTTGTCAAGTTCTACACAAGTCTGATCCATTAATTTGAGTCAGGTGTGTTGCAGTACGGAAAAAACCTGCAGGACAGTAGCTCACCAGGACCGGAGCTGGAGATCCCTTCTCCATAATGATCAACAGCTTCAACAGCTTCATGCCACGAGCTGTCAGAATGCTGAACTGCTGATCCAAATATACACACGATTCTTTATTTAATTGCTTTTAGTTTTAGGATCCTGATGAAATGAAAAATGACAATAAACTTGATTTGATCATAAATCTACCAGTTACACAACGTATATTCTAGTCATGGCCTATTGTTAAAGATTCCTAGAATACGGCAAACTGCTCTCAGAGTAGATTTTAACATCCCTGTTAAATGGGCCCTTTCTCTTGGTTTACTTCAGTTCCTCTTTTGGGTGTTGCAGGTTGAAAGATCTACTGTAGGTAGAGGCTAAGAAACATCTGGTGAAGTCTGGTTTGATGTCCATTTAAATACAGGCCAAAACCTTGTGATGAAATTCACTCTGTCAGTCCTTGATACCATTATAATATTGTCTGTTTTAACATTTTGAAGTACGTCGAGATCTCTGTACGCTGACTGAACACTTGTTGACCTTTGGAGCTCAGGAAATCTTTTCTATAATTCTAACTTGTCCATAGGTGTGAATGCTAATGTGCTTGGTTGACCCTGGTGAGGACTAAGCGGTGTATAGATAATGGATGGATCTTCTATGACCTTTAAATTCAGCTTAATGTTCAGGTAACACACTTTGTCAGTGAATAAAAGCTTCAAAACAGAACAG